GACCCCAACTTCAGCCCGCGGCGCCCGGCCTCTTCCGGGCTCGCGCCCCGGGAGGAGGAAACCCGAGGCCCGGGCTCCGCAGGTGCGGGACACGTGGGAAGGTCAGCCCGGCGCGGGCACCCGCGGCCGCCGGCTCCCGCCCACGGCGTTTGCGCGCCCCTCTGTCTGCTCCGCACGCGCACGCAGCGGAGTCCGCTCCCGGAGCTGAGTGCTGCTTGCGAGCAAGCGGAGAGCTGGAGAAACGAAAGTTTCCCTGCAGTGGGCCCGGGGCGGAGACAGCCCGGGCACAGCTGAGCCTTGCTAGGAAAGAGCTCGCAGAAGGGACGCAGGCCGTCTAATAAGCTCAGGAAGCACCCTGCGCTCCATTGTTTACATAAGGTGCAACTTTTTTTCTTTTTCTCTTTGTGTCTTGCGTGCATTCCCAGCACATGTCATGCAATAGGATTAAGACACGTTTGTGTACTCAAGGACAAAGAAGAGAAATATTTTGCCGAAGAGTTGAAACACATCGCAAATGCCTCTGCTGTCATTTTGCTCACTTATAGAAAACTCCAGCGGGTAAAAATAAAACATTAATTAGTCTGATGTGATATAATTCAGAGTCCCAGCTTTGACGCCTAAGATCGTCAAACACGTGCCTCCCTGCCTGCAGGAAATAGGCCCGGCAGGTGAGATGATTTTGAACACCTCACCCTGTTGACACGAAACAGCTTTCACTTACGTACAAAAATTGGAACGGGAAATCGACCAGATTAGTTTTATTATCCGAATTTGGTCAACGGGAGAACAGACACCTGGAAACAGAAAATGGGGCGGGGGGGTGCTACGTTTTTGAACTCTTGCAAAAGTTTATAAAGTGTTCTCAAGAACGAAAAAGAGATGGCTTTCGTGATTTTTATTCCCACTCCTCCCTCGTCTGTAAACCTAAATCTGAGGTCGTGATTAAACTCGGAGCTTCGTGGAAATTGGTGTCTCAGAATAAATTCATAAGCATTCCAAAAGCCATCACTGTCACCAAGATGGCTGCTTCTAGCAGACGTTTTAGAAATGACAACTGCATTTAAATCGCACTTAAACTCCAAGTTTCTCTTAGGTATTTTTAGTGTAGTCCTGGAGGACATTTGAACTCAGTCACTGTTGGTGTTAACAGTGGGGGGAAAAAAAAAAAACAGTAACAAAGAGCACTTGAGATATATATATATATATCCCATCTAATAATTCTGTTACAAGTAATCCAGTTTAATTTTCAATGAAATCTATTTCTTCCCACGTTTCCCCTTCAGATGTTACAGGAGACAACCAGCTCCTTGAGTTGGAACGTGGAAAACGCACTTGCTAAGTGAATGAAGAGCAAAGCTAGCAGCAGAGCACCACAGGAGGAAACTCAGATTTAAGAGCGATCTTTCCACTTTATTCAGCGCGGATGGAGCGGGCCTGACTTCCATACTTTACAAGTTCTATTGTTCCCTTCCCATGTATCTCAAGGCCTCCACTTTTAGAGTTTATTGCGGCAGGAACGTTCCTTGGAGGCAGAACAGGGGGCGAATTAGCTTTCTCAGCTTTATCTCTAAACTAACTGCTTTAGAGAGCAGCCTAGACGCCTCCAGTCAGCAGAGGGGTGGAGTTTGGGGCGCCTAGCTTTCTTAAAGGGCCCACGTCATGGTAAGCTTAAGAATGTATTGGTCTTCAATAGGATTTGGAGGAAATCTGCGTTTTGACATGGTACTTGTAGGCAATAATCGTGTTTGGAAGACTTTAGAGGAAAAGTCATCTTCTAAAGCTTCCCTGCTGATACAGATGGGAATAAATTGGAGAATTTTTTTTTCACCGTGGTTTTTATTGTTATTGCAAAGCAGAAGCGTGTCTAATTTTCTACTTCTTCCAAAAGTGATTTCCTTTATAAACAGACCGTTTATCACAACACTGGTTCAGTAATAGCATTACAATGGAAACACCAGTTACAAAACCAATAATATCATTATAAAACTCCTTCTCAGCTTTCATGGGGAAATGAATCAGAAGAATAGATAGTAGTAAATGCCGCCCGAAGGAAGAAGGGACTCGTTTAGATAATCGCCTCCACTGGAAAAATAATTAAATTTAGCTTTGGTCTAAATGTAAGCCCCCCATTTTTTTGTTTTTAAATTAAGTTTATTGGTATAATTTAGATATACATGAAGTTCGTATTCATCATAGAGAATTTGTACCTGCAAAGCCCCAAAATTTTATGGATAAAGAAAAAGATAACTTGCACAGCATCAAAGTCCTTTTTTTTTCTGATGATATATTTGCAGTGATTTACCCTGTAGCTTAAAATTTCAGTGTTACTGGGGCTGGGGATTTAGCTCAGTGGCACAGCACCTGTCAGGCAAATGCAAGGTCGTGAGTTCGATCCCTGGTACCAGAAAAAACAACAACAAAAAAAATTTCAGTGTTATTAATAATAAAACAGCATAAGTCATAGAGAATTTTTTGGTAAATTTTTAATGCCTAGAAATAAAACACTGTGCACATCTAGTCATGTTAACATCAGAACCTAGTGATTTTATTTCAATTCTAGATGGATTTGGTGACTTCAATGTCCACTGTTATATTTTTTAAAAGAGTTCAAGGGAGCCAAAACTGAGCTGGCTGTCACAGCGTCAGAATTTTGGGTGGGAACGTAGAACGTGCCACTGTGGGGTACCATTTCTTGAAAGGTATTTGGTTGTGTTTATAGACCTTTGACTTAGGATCTGGGTGTAGTGCCTGGGCCCAGCAAGGGATTTCTCAACATTGGTAATATCAACACTTGAGACTGGATGAATTTTTGTTGTGGGGAGTGGTCCTGCACGTTGTATGTTTAGCAGCATCCCTACCCTCTACCCATGAGATGACAGTTGTACACAACCAAAAATCCAAATATCCCCCAAAGGACAAAATGCCCCAATTGAGAACTACTGATTTTGCAGGCCCAAGGCAGTCCCAGTTGGAGCTGGCTTTTGTGGCCAACAATGATTACAAACCACTGAGTCATCGAAAAATTTCTCTCTCATTTTATACCCCCAGCGTCAACTAGCCAAGAGATCCTGGACCCAAACTACTGTTCTTACAATTGTCGTCTTTAGCCACTCTCTTTCTTTAACATGCTTTTCCAATACACTGCACTTGTTAATGTTAAAGTAACCTTGGAAACGCAGCATCCTTCTCTGGCCAGGGATCATGACTGCAAGATTAACTACATATCTCATCTCTATCACTCATCATTGGTTCTTAGGAATCAAAATCATTTTTACAGATACAGTCAGGAATTAAGTGCTCAGCTAAAGTAAATCCGATGAGAAGCAAGTAAGAATTTCAGGCCAAAAAAAAAAAAAGAAAAAAGAAAAAAAGAAACATCTGACCTATGTATCTGGAGATTGGACAACCTATAAGACCTAAAATTTTTTCCAATTCAGACCATCTAGAACTGCTGACCAAAAAATAATTTTTAAATCCTATTTACTACACAGAAGGAATCCAAAGAAAGTAAAGAAGAATTCAAGCTTTAGTAGCAAAGAAGAAAATGAAACAGCACAAATAAGCAGCAATTGTGTACACTGTGTTTTATTTATACAATAGATTAATACATAGAAATGTTGTTGAACAACCTTCAACCACATGAAGGAATGTGATAAATGAGCCTTGCAAACATAATGATCAAGAAAGCCAGACACAAAAGAGTATGTGCTTTGTGGTACAGCTTGTATCTAGATGTCCTGCCAAAACCTCCCACACTCATAGGTGGGACCTTTGAGAAGTGGCTAGATCTAGGATATGTGAATATGGATTAAGGGTGTGTGACATCTGGCTTAGTCCCCTAATTGGATTAGCATAGTTCTAGGCATGGCCAATGGATTTACTGAGGAAAGAAGCTCAACCCTGAGTGAGGGTGGCACCAGTCAACGGCTTGCAGCCTGGATGGAATATACAGAGAGAGCGAAGGCAGGCTCACTGCTTCCTGCCTGTCTTGCCCTCTGCCATGCCACCCTGCTTTGCAGCCAGCCGATTATGGACTGAAGCCTCAGCAAACTGTGAGCCAAAATAAACCTGTCCTCCTTTAACTTGTGGGTGTTCGGTATTTTGGTCCCAGCAATGAGGAAGTAACCAAGACATTTTGTGGCTGTGTTTATATATAATTCAAAATTAGACACAATTAATCTACACTGTTAGAAATCAGAATAATAATTCTCCTTAAGAGACTGTAGTGTTTTCTATCTGGGGGCTTGTTCACACAGGTCCATTCACTCATGAAAAGGTGCTCAGTTATATGTATACTTAGGACTAGTGTAGTTTTCTGTTTGTGTGTTGTACTGCAATATAATGTATGAGTCAAAACTGGAGAGTGAGGTGGAACTAAAAGCCAGAGAAGTACGTCTGGCAGTTGAATCTGGGGCAGCAGCACTGTAGGTCTTGTTAGCTGTGAGCTTTGTTTTAAACAGGGACAGGACTTAAAGCCTTGGGGCCATATGTGGCAGGAAGGTATAACTAAGGTACTCACAAAGTACTAGAAATATTAAAAAATTACACACATATTGAACAGCTGAACTAGAAAAAATTCTTTTCTTCCTACTAGCAGACAAATAGACAACAGGAAGCTAGTGTGCCTTAGACTGGATTCAGAGATTTATTTGTTTATTTAAAAGTCTTTTTGGAAAAGTTATGGTTTAGGCTTAAACCTCATCAAGTTAGAGAGTCACATAAGTATCTCACACATCTACATGGTCCAGAAATCTCCAAGATGACGTATTAGCTTGAAAATTTCCCAGATGGGGACTCTTTCTTTTATAGAAATGTTCCATACATTGGTTACACAAATGTGTATATTTATCCAATCTCATCAAATGTGTTTATAAAGGATGAATTGTTTTCTATATAAAATATAATTGAAAAAATAAACTGACTTAAAAAATAGTTGGTGTTGGAATAATAATATCCTCTACCACCTAGCAAAAACAAGCACAGATTCATTCTGGAAGGGCACAGCCTCATGATAAAGATAGGGTTACAACTAAAAATTACAAGATGCAAAGAGAAATAGTCATTTCAAACAAAAATTAGCAAACTATAAACAGCAGGATAGTATTCTCAAAACTTCAATAAGTATGAGTGTTGGATAGAGTTGGCTTGGGTAAAATTAAGTATGTTTAAAATAGAGCTATAAAAGAAGGAATAAAAAGCATAGGAAAGAAAACACAATCAGACTTGAAAACAGAACAGTCAGAAATAAGCCAAGCAGAATATCTAAAAATTAAAAATACTGTTTGCAAATATTCCCTGTCCAATGATCAGAACTACACCTGTAGTAAAAAAAAAAAAAAAAATTCTTCAGTTTTCTGCAGCAAAAGATAATACACACCAGAGGAATTGTGGGACAAGAGGATTGTGGCATGAGATGATGATTTTCATGTGAACAGGATGATTTTGTGGATCAAATCTTAACAAGAAGTGGAGAAAATCTGGTAATTGAATATACTGATAAATTTGATCTAAGAAGCAGGTGCATTAGAATTATCACTGTAGGTGCTGGGGATTTAGCTCAACAGCACAAGTGCCTGCCTGGCAAACACAAGGTCCTGAGTTCAATCCTCAGTACAAAAAAACCCCCAAAACCAAAAAACAACAACAAAAAAAACCTGGTATAGAATTATCATTGTAAGAAGTTATCACTAATGAAATATTCATATTAGTCAAAGTGGGATGTTTTGTTACTTTTATGACTGCAGATTAGCCTTTCTGTCTTGTCCGACCACCAACATGGTGTGGACCTATCTGATGCCTGCTTTTATTCTTTTAGCATTGTCTTTGTCTTAGTATCTGCGTTTCTGAGACCAAATACCTACCACCCAAAGTTAAAGGAGGAGAGCCGGGGATACAGCTCAGCGGCACAAGCGCCTGCCTGGTAAGTACAAGTTCGTGAGTTTGATTACCGGTCCAAAAAAAAAAAGTTAAAAGAGGAAGGGTTTATTTCAGCTCCCTGTTTGGAGAGGTTCAGTCCCTTGTCAGCTGGCTCCTTGGCAGGGCAGTATGGCAGAATAGAAATAGTCCATGGCGAGGTAGGCAGAAAGCAGCAAGCCTCCCTTTTCCTTTTATCCCATCCAGGCTACAGCCCTTTCGGATGGTTTCACCCACCACCAGGTTGGATTATTCACACTCAGAATTGTAATAAACCAATTAGAGGGCTAATCCAGTACCACACACACCTTTAATCCCAGTATCACACCCTTAGTTCACATTCACACACTTCTAGAAAGCCCCACCTATGACCACACGAGGTCTTGAGGAGACATCTATATAAAAACTATAACATCTTCTTTCAATCAGGAACATAATGGCCCATCTGGTATCTGATATAGGAATAATTTTTCATTTTGCTAAGTGACAAAAATTTGAAACCCTCACAATTAACACAATGAACACTATTAGCAAGTACACTGTAATAGATATAGGTAGACTCTGCACCCCATGATTATAGAAGAAACATTCTTCTCAGGCACAAGTATACCAAAACTGACTGTGAACTGAGCCACAAAGCATGTTCCAACAAAGAATATTTCATGTACAGACACTAGGCAAAATGCTTTAGCACATTTTGTATGTTAACTAGTTTAATTCCCACAATCACCCTGTTTGGGTGTGTACTAGAGTTATTATTAGTACTATTCTTCCCTGTAAGAGATGACATGAGATAACTCAGGCTAGGATAAATTAAGAAAATTATTCAAACTCATCAACTGGTAAATTGGAAGATGAGATCCAAACTGTCTACAGATGTGTACTTTTTTTTTTCTTTTCTTTTACTTTTTGGTCTGTTTGTCGGTTTGTTGTGTTTTGTCTTGTTTTGTTTTTTTGCTGTAGTGCTAGTGATGGAGCCCAGGGCTTCACGCATCATACACGGTAGATATTACATATAAAGATTTTTTTCTCATATGTGTATGAATGATGATTTTGAGATATTTGCTTTTTGACTAGCCAGCATTTTCTATTTTATTAATTGTCCACCAGTTTATTGTCAGTCTTCTCTCACTAGAATATGACATCCATGGGAACAGGGATCTTATTGCTTTCATTTACCAATGAAATGGTCTATGTAGAACAGTGTTTGGTTCACGTTGTTCATTCAGTAAGTATTTACGAAATCAATGAATGCATAAATGGGGCCAGCATGGGCCTGTAGCCCCAGCTACTCAGGAGGCTGCAGGAAGAAATCTTCAGCATAGAAGGTCAAGGCTGGCTTGAGCAACAAAGTAAGACCCTGTCTTAATTAAGTAAGTACAGGGATAGTGACAGAGAGACAGAGACAGAGACAGAGGAGACACAGAGACACAGAGACACAGAGACACAGAGAATGAAACTTGACAGGACCAATAAGGACCAAGTTGATAAAGCTAGTTATCTCAGGGGATAACCAGAAGGAGGGAGAAAAGGCTTATCTATTTTATTGTATTTTCCTTTCCACCATAAAAGGAAAAAATTGATTATGGGTGATTTTAAGTTTCTTCTGGGGGGATTTATGCATTTTCAAATTTTTCTAAAATAGAAATACTTTACTTGGAAATTAGAAAACCAAAATATCGTGTAACAGCAATTATAATTACTTGTCAAGATTCCCATTTTTTGAGCAGACTAGCCTCCACATTCTTTCACAAACGCCATTGTTTTAGTTTTCTCTTTATTTTAGTGTAAAGCCATATGTTAGAGAATATTTTCTGAATAGGTGTCTGTCTTAGTGACTTTCCACATTGCAGGGAATAAATACCCAGTACCTACAATTTAAAAGACAGGTTCATTTTTGTTGGCTGGCTCCAGGGCAGAAGTGGCATAGCGCAAGAGCTTGCTCCAGAGGACAGCTGCTCATCCCATGGCATCCAGCAAGCAGAGTCAAGAGAAGAGCTGAGGAGGGGATAAAACATGCTGGGTCATGCCTGCTGTGACCTGCCACTTCCAACCAAACTCTACCTCCCAACAGCAAGTCAGCCTTAATGACCCCATAATCCAGTCACCCTCCAAAAGTCCTGCCTATGATCACACGAGGCTTTGGGAGAACACCTAAATATAAACCACAACATTTCACTCCTGACCCCCCCACCAAAGTCTTATGTACATCTCTTTATGCAAATTGCATTTGGTCCTTCTCTAAGTGTTGCCATAGTCCTAAAGTTTCAGCATTGCTGAGAAGTCCAAGTCCAAAGCCTCCTCTGAGACTTAAAGGCAAACTCTTGGCTGTGAGCCCTTGTAAAAATCAAAAAGAAAATTAAACTCCTCAAACATACAGTGGCACAGAATAAATATTCCCAGAGAAAGAAATTAGACCAAAGTAACACCAAAACCCAGCAAGACAAATGTTAAATCCTACAGCTCCACATCTGGTACCCAGGGCAGGCTGTGATAAGATATGTACTCTGAAAAGCTTGGGCAACCCTGCCCCTATAGCATTGGCAGTGGTTGTAGCTCTCATGACTTCTCTCTTAGGCTGGCTTTGCTCACTTCTTGTAACTTTCTTCAAACGTTTCATGTTCCTGGCTTCTCTAAATTTTGGGGATCTGCACTGCACTTTTGGCTTCACTCTCACAGCTTTATCCAGTGCCCTCTCAGGGGCATATTATCTGTCTTCCTAACCTTTCTTCTGAAACCTGGGTGGAAGCCTTCCTAACCACACTCTTGTATTCTGCATGCTTGTAAAACCAGGGCTATGTGGCTGACAGCAAGGTCTGCCACCAGCTACAGCAGTAGCCAGGGTCGCTTGAACTGGGGCTGCAGAGGCTTCTGAGTGCCTGGATATGAGCACCGTGAACTGAATCCAGAGGAACAAATTCCCAAGTGGCCATTCTTGAGAAGGGTGCCCTTGGGATTCTTTTCTTAAAGCAATATTTCACTGGCCACTTTAAGCATGGAAGAGTAAGGCCTTGCTATGTCCTCACATGTCCTTAAGCCACTTTTTCTATTATCCTTCGGTAAAGCACTTAGCTTCTTCTTAATGCTAACTTTTTGTACAACTAACCTTCTTCTGTTACATCTTTGCAGGTTTCAATTTTACCTGAGCTTCCTTTCTGCCCAAACTCAAAACTTTTATATCATTCAACTATGCCATTTGCTCTTGATTATCAATATAGATCTGGCTATCATTTGCCAACAATAACCATGCCACAGCCTTAATATTGGGCTGCTTTGAAATTTTCTCCGCCAGATTAATTAGCCTACTACTCTTAATCTCATTCTCCCACAAAGTCTCAGGACATAAGCAAAATATAGAAAAACATTCTGTAAGAGAATAACACACATGATATGAAGTCCATCTGTCAATGGAGCCCTTGTTCCCAGCAGAAGCCTCCTGAGCTTGTTCTTTACTGGCTGCATTACTGTCAGAATTTTGGTCTTCTGAGCCCCGACCTGAACCTCCCACTGAATTTGTCTCATAGAATTCTGGGCTTATCCAGCCAGCATCTCCAAACCTTTCCAAGCTCCTGCAAACCAGTTTCAAAGTCTTCTGAACCACATGATCAAGTAGTACCACAACAACAACTCCACTTCTGTCTCACTTGTGAGAGAGACAGAGCCAAAAAATGTATACATCAGTAAAAGAAAAACTTGTATAAATATTTTAACACTAAATTTTGAGACATCATGAAATTAACACAAGTTATCTTTGGCCTCTACTGTTATAAGAGGTGCTCAAAGTGGTGGTCATTAGCTTCCAGACATTTATTAGTATGGTGAACTGCTGAAACCTGCAAACATTTTTTGGTGGAGTGCGTGTGTGTATGTGTGTGTGTGTGTGTGTGTGTATGATTTATATTAAGCAGGCTTACAATCATTACCTATAGAAGCAGGGATGAAAAAATAAAACATGGCCATCACCAAAGAGTCAGAGGATCCAGCCAAAACTTGAAGGCCTAGAGCTCACTGCTGAGCCTGCTGCAAGTCCATTTCAGAAAGCCAAAGGGTCTACACTGAAAGGCTGAAGAGTCTGCACTGGAAGCCTAAAGGAACTGGAGATAAACATCCAAAGATAATGGTGAAGACTGGTGTGCCTCTGAAGAAGCAAAAGGGAAACTTCCTTATTCTTTATTTCATCCAGGCTATAGTCCTATTGGTTGATGCCACTTGCATCGAGGTTAGGTCTTCTCTCCTCTGTTTGTAGCCTACCTCTCAGTCATCCACAGATACACTCTAAATTAACTATCCTCCACTGATCTGCTAAATGTTTCTTAATCTATTCAAGATGACACCATAATTAAATATCACACCCACTTTTCCCACCCGGCCTCTACCTCCAAACAGCAAGTCAGCTGTAAGGCCCCTATAATCTAATCACCCTCTGAAGGTCCTACCTATGATCACAAAAGGCTTTATAGGGGTATGTAGATAGGAACCATAATCATATCTGTCTGTATTTTCTTGAATATCACTAAGGGAAAATCATGAGGTTTAGATAGTCTCCATGGTAACTAATTCAGAACTGGGATTGATCCCTGAGGATAATTACACTAGATATTCCAGCACTAGAAAATGTTTTGGATTTTCTCCAGGCTGGGGAGCATGTTGTACATTCTGTTATCTCAGTGGCAATCTCAGGAACCATCTTTACCAAAAAACATTGCTTTCCAAATGTGCTCTGCATCTAATCTGGAGAAGAGCTCTCTATACTGAATCTGATTCCTCTGACAGATCTTGCCCACCACTCATATCATCACTCAAGACTTCTATCAGAATCTTACTTGTCCTTTGCTCATGAGACAAGGAGGTAATTCTTAGATAAACTGAAACTATGTGTAGTAAATCCCCTTAGTTCTGGGGGATACATTCCCAGTGGATGTCTGAAACCTTGGACAGTGCTGGACCCTACACATATACTATATTTTTTATATACAGCACATCTATTATAAACTTTATAAATTATGAAAAATGAGACATCAAGAAATTTACAATAACCCGTAGAAAAATAGAATAACTATAAGAATATACTGTAGTACAATTTAACACTTATAAGTTGTTTATTTCTGAAATTTTCCACTTAGTATTTTCAGATGTGGTTTACCATGGGTAACTGAACCCAAGCAAAGCAAAATAACTGATAATAGGTGGGTATCATGGGCAAGGGGTATTACTGTAATCCTTGTTAGTGCTTATTTTACTTTTCTTTATAAATATGAAATTTCCATGTCTACTCTCCTGAGATATTAATTAGAAAAATTAATTCATTCAATTCATTAATAAATGATGGCTAGTGCCTGCGCCAGTGCGCGCGCATGTGCGCATGTGTGTGTGTAGTACTGGGGATTGAACTCAGGGCCTCCCACATGCTCGGCAAACACTTTACCACAGAGCAAGATGCCTGGCCCCGATGATTACTTTTTACATGTCTCAATGACTGAGCCGTGGAGTACCCAGTTACTGGTTAAACATTATCTGGATATTTCTGTTAGGGTACTTTGGAGGACTTTGACATTTAAATTAGTAGAGAGAGTAAAACAGATTCTGTTCTCTAATGTGAATGGCCCTCATGCTATCCATTTAAGGCCTGAATAGAACAAAAAGGATGAGTTCGAGGGAAGCCTTTCTACCTGACTGCTTCACTGGAGTCTAGGTTCCTGTTTTGAACCAAAACATCACTTTTCCTCAAGTTTTATCCTGCTGGCATTTGGAACAATCAAAGCAACAGTGTTCATTTTTCTGATCTCTGTGTCTCTGTCTCTGTCTGTCTGTCTATCTCTCTATATCTCTCTGTGTCTCTTTCCACCCCACCCTCCATTCATCTCCATCTTATTCATCCTGTTTCCCTGAAGAACACTAAGACAGTAAATGACATCTTATTTTGTATCAGGCCTTAGACTAGGAGTCGGTTTCCCCAGCTGCCTAGCTTAAAAGAGAAGATAGGTTGAAATCAATGTTGTAAGTGCTTGCATTGAGTTACATAGTGTACACAGTGTTCTGAGACCACAGAAGGAGTCTAATTACCTAAAGAGTTGAGAGCGCTTCACTTAAGGGTTAGCATGAACACAATTGTGAAAAATAGCTTCAGAACGAGAAAACTGAAGACAATGAACTAACTATACATTCATCAGTACGTAATTGTAAGTGAAAAACATCAGATACAAAAGAGCACATTTGAATACGGGTGCTTTAGATATCTTTGTAAAACAAGACTTTTTTTTTTTTTACTCAGAGAAAAGGCGTCCAGCATGGAACCATTCATTCTGATGTTAACAGCGATGTACCTAGTGCGTGTGACATCCCAGGAAGATCATTTGTTGGCTTCCCCCTCCTGTGTATAATAAAATTATTTTTCAATAAAAATAATGTAAAACCAACAAAAATGTTTTTTATTTGGTATTTAATTTAAAAATAATGACTAGAAACAATACATTTCAGTTTTACAGATATTGAAATTTAGCAAAATATTTCAGGTATGAGCTAAAATTTACCTTTACTCTCAAAATTACACAACATAGTTAACACTGTTACTTCATTCAAAAAATTTAAAAAGAAACAAATCTCCAAATAGTCACAATGAATGACAGAATTGAAGTAAGCTGAGTTTTGGCTTTACAATCACTTTCTCTGTCATTTTAAAACGTTCAAATTCACTGTTGAAAGGCAGGAATATGTAGTACCTCAGGGATGGAGTTGAGAAGTATTCGTGAAGTAATCTAAAATGATTGTGAGTCATTATAAACTTTCTGAAGTGAAGACATGTAGCTAAGTCTGTGTGGTGGGATGATTTCAAAAGTCGAGTTCTACACATGGAATTAGCTTTCACATAGAATTAAATGTTTATGCACAGTTAGTAATAAAAATATAATGATTTTATGCTTACATGTATTACTAAAACTCAATGATAGCAACCGTTATTTAATACAACAGTAGTTAAAGTGTCTGGTCTTAGAACATTGTTGCATCCTTACAAATCACTGAGCTCTTTGTTTTTATTTTATTTTATTTTTTTTATTTTTTTGGTTTTTCTCCGGTACCGGGAACCGAACTCACGACCTTGCGCTTGCCAGGCAGGCGCTTTGCCGCTGAGCTAAATCCCCAGCCCCGCTCTTTGTTTTTATTTCTGTTGGTTTTATGTATTGTTGTTTTTGTTTATGTAGGGTATATGTATTGATTTTTACCCTACCAGAAGTAAAAACAAAAAAATTAAAGCAGGAAAAATTTAAATATTTATTTTTAAATTAAGTTTACACATTAAAAATATATAAATCATACCATGTTAACATATATATGCTTATGAAAAATAGTTTTCCAAAACAAAGCAAAATTTACCAAAAGAATGGTATTCTTTTCTTTGATGTGGTTGGAGTTGTGCCTATAACTTCTGTATCCAGTCTATTGTAACACCCTAGAGGAAGTGAAATAGATGCAACAAATCCAATCTCACAGGAATATGCAGTTGAAGTGTGATTGGTAATTGTGATATGTCATCTTGACTTGAGTAAACTCTGCTCAGCAGAATACTAAAGTTTTGGGTGTGCCTGTGGGACACTGACATGTATGCTAGGAAACTGAGAGAGGGAGACCCACTCCAGGTGTGGGTGATGCCGACCAATGGACTTGTACCCTGGATGGAATAAGAAGGGAAGCAAGAAGTAACTGTTCCCTTTTTTTTGGAGTAACTTTGGTCTTTGTAATTGCCTTTGGATGTTGGTCTCCAGTTTCCTCAGCCTCCCATTATAGGCTCTTTGAGTTTCCAACACAGCCTCACACCATTACTCTACCATGAGCCTCCAGGCTTTCCACCTTCTACTGTGACTGAATCTTCTCGCTCTCTGGCATGCAGCAGCCATTTTTGTTCTTGTGCCTCTGATCCTACAGTCATTGTGCTCTTCCACTGCTGTTCTTTTAAGCCTCCCTAATAAATCTCATTGTGCAATTAATTTTACACATATTTTATGCTGACTATCTGTAATGGTTCATATGTTGCATCTGTTTGAGAAGTTTAGAAGTTTAACTAATTGACTCAGCAGGGGCCAGGGTTCTCACTTTGTAAACATCCTCATCCTGTGCAAGAGGAGGGCATGGAGATAGTCTGAGTACTACACCACCCACGGGCCAGTAGCCTGCATACAATGTAAGGAAGAAAAAGAGGTTTGCTCTTACCCCCTCTTTTGCTTTTGTTGCTTTTGTTGTGTTCAGCCTCCTTGAAGTGTTGTCCCTGTGCCATGCCACCCTGCCTTGGACCCAGCTGATTATGGGCTGAAACCTCCACAAACTGTGAGCTATATAAACCTTTCCTTCCTTAATTTTGGGTGTCAGGTATTTTGTCTCAGCAATGAAAGAAAAGTAACTAAGACACTGTCCCTCTAGACAACCCTAACTAATATAAGAAGGGAATGTATTTTAACAGCCTTTTTATATAATCATATATTTCTTTGATAATGCACCAAAACTTGAAAAGAGGTTGTTTCTTACAGCATAGTTATGTGGTGTTCTAAAGCCACTGTATTGCTTAGCTTTCCTGTCACTGGGACAAATTACATAATACTCACAACTTAATGGAGGAGAGATTTGTTTGGCTCACAGTAACAAAAGGTTTAGTGCTTAGCTGACTGGCCCTAAAACAGAAACATCGCGACAAAAAGGTGTACTGGAGCAAAGCTGCTAAGCTCACAGTGGCTGGGAAGCAGAGTAGGGGAACAGTGCCTGAGAGGAAAGCGCCAAGGACCATTTATCGTCCCAAAGGACATATCTCCATGACTCACTAGACACAACCAGAAGTATGCTGTACTAATCCTCTGGGTGGCTATCAAGCCAATCCAGCTTAACTGTCACATTCCTCTCCTTGTCAATTTGATGCTAAAACACGTCTTCTTAGAGCACATTTAATCTCTAAATAAACATGACTTTGCCTAACATAACATATCTACCTCACATGTAACTGAAAATGCACAGATGCCCTCCCCCAAGGGCTCAACAACTCCAGCATTGTTCAAAGTTCAAGTCCAAAGTCCCCTCTGAGGATCAAGGCAAACTCTTGGCTATAAATGCATGACAGTTCTTTTAAAAGCAAGTTATTAATACCCAAGTACAATGGTATGGAGTAAACATTATCATTTTAAAAGGAGGGGACTAGGGAGATAGAAAAGAATAGGACAAAAGCAAAACTGAAACCCATTGGGCAAACATTAAGTCCTATAGCCCAATATTCAGCACAGGGAACATGATGATTAAATATGAGACCCAAAGGTATTGGGCAGCTCCAAATCCATTGCTGTGCTAGTTGTAATTTATATGTTATCTGCCTGGGACTGCCTTCATGTGCTGCTTTTGGCTTTCTCCATAGATATTCCACATTCTGGGTCTCTCCAACATCCTGGAATTTCCACTGTACCTTCAGTTTCGTTTTCCTAGCTGGACACACCCATGCCTCTCAGAGGCACATTGCCTGGCCTTCCAGCTTTTCTCTTGAAATATGGATGGAAGCCTCCATGAGCCAACAATTCTTGCCTTCTGCATGCCTGAACAGCCAGCATCACATGGATGACACCAAGATCTTTTACAAGCTGAGCAGTACTGGAGTCCCTACGGACCATAGCTACAGCAGTCTCTGAGTATCTGGTTGAATGACGAAATGAATCCTGAGAATCGATTCACTAAATGACCCTTCTCAAGTAAAGGGGCCAAGGGCTCTTTTCTCACACGAAAAGTTTGTAATTTTGCATCCCTCAACCTGTGGTAGGTGGGAATTTGCCGATTTCTGAAATGCCCTCAAGGCATCTTTCTCTAATTTCTTCAGCAACCGTACTTCCTTAGGCCCCAACTTTACATGGGGATCCTCCTAAGCCAAAATTTAAATTTTTCAAATCTTCCTGCTCTGGTTTTTCCTCCTAATTCTTACTACATATCTGGCCAAAAGCAGCCAGTAGTCTTCATGCCACAGCCTGGATATTGAGCTGCCCTAAAATTTCCTCTTCCAGATAAATTAGTCCACCACCCTTAAATTTAGCCACACACAGAATCTTAGGACATAGGCAAAATACAGAGAAGTTCTTTGCTAGTATGTAACACACATGGCCTATAGTGGAGTTCCCAGTGGAGTTCTCATTTCCAGCTGAAACTTCATGAATCTGGCCTTTCCTGTCTGCATTTCTGTCAGTATTCTGGACTTGGAAGCACCAATCAAATTGCCTATCAGTATCTACCTGTAGCATCTTAGAGCTTCTCTAATCTGCACCTCCAATCCTTTTCAAATCCTCCTGAAAATCAGTCCCAAAGGTTTCTAAACTACATGGTCAGTCGTGATCAATAAATATAATAAATGTTTAAATTTTTAGAGATTATTACAATAAAAGACACATTGCCAGTAATTCCTCTCAAAATACTCCCATTTTCCTTGAACACAGTTATAGCATTGTTCTTGCCACGTTCGGAAATAGCTTGAGAATTCTTCTTTTGTATCTTTTGTTGTGTTTTTTTGTTGGCTAATTTGATGTATTAGACTAATTAAAAACATTCACCTTTTAGAGTTATTTTGACTTTATGGAAGAGCTGAAAGTCACAAGATACCAAGTCCACTTAAAAAGGTGAGTGAAGATATACCATGTTTTGACAGAAATTGCTGTAGACATTTGATCAGTGAGGGGTGCTCAAGCCATACAGTGACTGTTTAAATTTTTAAATTTAGTACAATAACAGATACATTGCAGTTAGTCATTAAGCCCCTTCAAATTACTCAAAATACTCTTCCTTACCTCAAATATACTTGTCCTATCATTCCTGGTAATGTGTCTTTTAAAGTGATGATTTTTTAAAAAAATTAAACATTCACCATACTTTTGATCACCCTTGAACTCAGAGCAACAACCTCACTTCTCTGATAACCAGTACCCCGCATATGCAGTTTAAAGAAGGAGAGGTTTATTTAGCCCAGCGTCTCAGTATATGGTTGGGTGACCTCAAAGCAGACACATCATGGCAGAAGGATGTGGTGGAGGAAAACTGCTTAGCTCGCAGTGGGGAAAGCAGAGCAGGGGAACAATGCCTGAGAATGCCAGGGAGCAGATACAGTACCCAAGGTTGTCCCTCCATGACCCATCCAGACACACCACAAGTGTGCTTTACTAGTCCCATAAGTTGACAATCTGGTTTAATTTTCACAACCATATAAATGAACTTCTCATACTCAATTACATTAAAATGTGTTGACTTATATGCTGAATTAATCATTTTATTTAGGCATGACGTTGATGATTTGGACATTATTTCCCTGGGTCAATGCAGCTTTTGCAAATGGTAAGATGTACCATTTTTTAATAGCAAACCCAACACTTTTTAAAATATATACAACCATGGATTGCAGCAGAAGTCTTTAAGCTCA